CATTTATCTCTCTGCCCTTCAGTTAATCCCACTTGTGTTTATCGGCCAGGCTGGCACAATAAACTATCTCACATGCTTACAATACCTTACGGACATCACCATTTAGATCGATCATGCAGTAACCTAAACTCTAAAATTCCAAAATTAAACTCGTTAAGACTCCAGAAATCTGCTCCATGTTCATCTCCTAGTGCCTTGTACCGTAAATCCCCTTGTTGCCCAAATCTGAATCTTGGGAGGCCATTACTCTTCATCAATCAATCTCCCTCGTTCAATCATTAAGTCCAGCTGGTTCCACTCTTAAAAGAACTTCAATTCATAGTCCTCTTGTCCTTCTTCCTCATGCCCACTCACTACCATCTATCCTGGTCTGAGCTACCGAAATTTCCCATCTGGACTTCTACAAGAGTTTCCTGGCTGGTCCTTCTAGTTTTGCCCCGTTCCAATGCTCCATGTTTTAGCCAGAGTAAACTTTGCACATTAAATTTCTGATCACGTCATTCCCAAACTCTTTACTACTCTAGAAAAAAACTCAACATCTGTAGCATGTACTCTAGGCTCTTCGTGGCCTGGTCTTATCTGTTAGCATACTTTACCTGACAGTTGGGATAACCTTCTTAATGTCTCTAATGTGCCATTCTCTCTTACCACTGGGCCTTTGGGTCAACTTCTCACTAACTAAGGGTAAGTAAAAAAGTATTACTACAAAATCACAGAAACCTTCATTAAACACAAATGACAACATGTGAAACTATTGCTTTTCTACATACTGATTCTCATCTAGGGTGGTTCCATCTCTCTAACCCTGCCCCAAACACCACACATTTCTATTTACAACATTTCAAAATGGTCGTTTGGGCATCCTCAAGGGACTCAAATCATATTCCTTTGAGTTTTGGAAACAAAAGGAAAACAGAAGGGGTGAGATCAGGGCTGTCGTGTGGAAGAAGTCAGGTGTCCCAATGCAATTCTCACACGACAACCCTTGCTACCCTCAAAGAA